ATTGCATCTTCTCACTGATAAGGTAGTGTACATCATACTTGCAGTAAATGATCTCCAAAGATTACTTTCTAAAATATTTTTTTCATGGATCTTTTTTTCCCAAATTTCTTTAACATTTTTGGAATGACTTCAGTAAGCTTAGGAATTTTTTTGGTATTCTAAGAGGAACTGGGGATGGGGAGGCCGAATACAAGGAAAGTGTGATCCCTATGAATTAACACCTAGAAAGGTAAGAGAAAAATACACAAAATAAAGTGCCTTAAAGCCAGAAAGGGAACCCTTTACACTGAGACTTAGTGAATGGACATTGTCATTGAAGCAGATGGATCTATTGAGACCTACCTACCTGTAAATATCTTGCTCAGCAGAAACAAAAAATAAAAACCAGCGAACAATATATTTTTCTATCGTATCCTCCAGCGCCATTTCGTCTCATTGCTCTCGGTTCCACTTTGCCTACTTTTTGGGAAGTGGAGACTAGCGAAGGAACGGAGAAAAACTGATGCTGAGGTTGTTGCCATGTCTGAAGGGATCTTATGGAGTAATTGCTATTCCAGTAGAAGAAATAACCATTGTTTACACGTGTATGGAATATGAACTGCAACTAGTGTAGAGTCGATGTCTTATAATGTTCATCGTTTTTTGGTGACAGTCCCAAGGATGTAGGTACTTGGATGGATTCAGTGCATGGAAAATCTTTTTTTTTTTTTAAGACTTGCTTCTAAGATGCAATAAAGATTTTTTATTTGCAATCAGAGCTCCTCATGTTGTCTGCCTCAGTCTGTATCTTTTCATACAGCGTAGGCACAGCCGCAAAGGTAAAGCAGTTTTGGGAAGTAAGTCCAGGTAAAAGGATCTCCCTCTTACAAAGGGTTTTGACCTCTGTGTTGTGTTTGGCCCGGAATTAACTTAATGCCATGTACCGTGGCTCTGGGGAAAGGGAAAACAAATCCGTCCGTCAGACTCTGGTTTAGGCTCCCGTTGCTGCCCGCGCTGATGGGCTGTGCGATTCCCTGGGGCAGCTGGTCGTCTCTAACGGAGGTTTTTGACTTCTTCCTTGTGAAAAGATTAAAAGTGCTTTTGCTGTCTGAAAACATCCGTAACTATACATTTAAAATGCATGCGATGACAAGGCTGAATAATTTCATGATGTTTTGTGTGTTCAAAACACAGTAAAAATAATTATTAAGTTTGTCGAGCACTTATTTTTAATAGCGCTGCCAGTTTTATCACAGTTGTTCACTATTGGTGTGAGGCTTTTTTATGTAAAAATTAAGTCCCAAAGCAAGAATCGTAGGGATTACAGAAGTGTTTCTTCACACAAGGGAAAGAAAAAAAAAAGCAACTAGTATTTGTGGCTGCAGAAGAGAGCTTGAAGAATATGAACCCTGAAGAACTGTACCAAAAGACGGGGGAGAAAAAGCCCTGTACTTACACTGTATTTATTAACATTTATGATTATGTAGGATTTTTTTTAGCCCATAACAGCCAGTAAAAGCAGAATGCATGTAAATGGAAAAAGCCGTTTAATGAAAAGCACCCATCTGGTATTGGGCTTTTTTTTGCTCAGTTGCGGCAGTTCTGATTCAGTTACCAAATCTGTCCAAGCAGCATTAAAAGCAAGTTTTACACCAAGCTCGCAGGCAACTCTTGAGGCCCCACATCTTAATTGACCACATATTTTATGGACTCGCAGCTTAAAAGTAATCCATTTTAAAGTTAAATTTCGAATTATAACGGTCTATGATAAAGTCTAACCTTATAAAACCTTTTTTATACTAAAATAAGCGGTATTTGCTGCCCAAGTTGTAGGGAGCTTGACCAGGTGGAAGTCATCAGCTGGCAAGTGCTAACCCAGCCTCTGACAAAAATCCCTTCTGGGGCTGGAACGTTTCATTCGCAGTTTACTCTGGGTGGTTGTTTCGGAGAGAAGTTCACTTCATGCCGAGAAGCCACTTGGTGTTGGAAAACCCAGGAGGGTTTGCCTCTAGTCCGTGAAGAAAAACAAGGTATGAGAAAATGAGATGGGGTCATCCTAACGCTGAAGAACATGGTGACCGGGAGTCATTTGCTGAGGTTTGCTATATATTGATGTGCTTCGCTTCTTCATTAAAACAATTAAAAATGCGAGACATTTCTTTCCCTCGTTCTTCCAGTGTATGGAACCTGTGCCAGATGCCGTGCTGGTTGCGGGCATGCTCACTGCAATAAAACTCCTGCCCAAGCAGAGCTTTGCAGCCCTTCAACGCTTGGGTTTAAACCCTTCCACCTTTTCTGGACACCCATGGGTGCAAGCTCCGTCCCGCACACCTGCACAGAGAATGAACTCGTGAGTCAAAGCTCGGAAACGCTTCGCCATTCCTGTCTTCCCGTGGCTCACACGGGGGTTTCTCGCCCACACTGACTCCACTCGCCCTGGCCCGTGGCTCGTGATGGCGGGTTGGTGGCTCTGGAGGGTTTTGGGGGCCCCTTGTGTCCGCTGAGCTGCCGGAGCAGCCGTCTCCCACCAACAGAAGATGGAGCTGATGAACAGAAGGGGCTGAGCTGAAGGTCGGGGGGGGACCTGCAAAGGAGCCTTGGTCCTTCCTTCTGGTAGGTACGTTTGTGGGGTGGAGAGGAGAGGCTGCTTTTCCTGTGGGCTGTCGGGGGAACGGCCAAAATTCACTGTGAGCATCGAGCTGGGGCGTCTTAAGGCTGCGCTTGGCTCCTTGTTCATGGACGTTCATCAGTCGCTGGAGTTAAATTGTACGTGAAACTCCAGGGAGAGGCAATGGGAGGGAGCTGGATTTATTACCCCTGTTCTCTATCAGCACTTCCCTCCCAGCAGCTCCTTTCTTTGCTCAAGGATCAATGAGAGCGAAGAGGCAAAGGACACGGGGAAAGCGCGGGTGGGAAAGGTGGTGCGGTACTTCCCATGACCGTTGTGCTCGATGTGACTGTTCAGAGGTTAAATATTTTTATGCAACTTTGCAGAGTCACGGTCCGTAGAAGGATTTCAAGTTTTGTTCCTTTAGGCACAGTGGGGTTTTATTGCCCTGAAAAAATCGGTGACCAGCTCCAGCCTCCGCACAGCATCCCTGGACCCGGTTGCTTTCAGGAAAAGCAAGAAAGCCCCGCTGACCCTAAATCTGCTTAGTCCGAGTTTTTGTTGAAGCTCTAACTTCACATTGCAAATTATTAGCCTAAGTCGTTTTGCATGAATACTTGCTAAAAATACTCCACTTGCACAGCCAGCCTCACTCGAGAGCTTTTTGGAAAGGAAAATCCTTCAGAGGCATTAAAACTGGAGAGCAGGTTAGCGCCTTGCCGGGGGCAGATGCTTCCAGGTCCCAGCGGGTTCCTCCTCCTCTGCTCTGCTTCGGGACCTGGTGGTTTCTGGGCTGGTGGGACACTGCCCACGTGAGGACCTGTTTAACCACACGGTTTTGTGCCCAGGGCTGCAGCCCCTGCAGAGCAGTGCGCTGGCAACACGTGATTGCGCTGACTGCAGCAAATTCTGGGTTTTTTTTGGTCCTGATTTGAGCTCGAAGGCCGTCTCCTCCGCGGGGCATGGGCAGCCTCGGAGACATCCTGCCCGCCCCGGCCGAGGCACGTTCGGGCTGCAGTGCGGCCGCATCCCATGGGGCTTCCTTCCCCGACTCTTTTACGGGATTTCACCTGGCTGCTGCTGCCAGAATCGCTTTTATGCCTCACGTCCAAACTGCTGCCGAGGCTTTCCCAGGTGCAAGAAACCCGTCCGCGTCCTTTCCAAGCTCCAAAACCCATCTCCCAGCCCTCCTCCAGCCCAGGAATCTCTACCACCTTTTAAATCACGTTTATGAGCGGGGTGAAAAAAATTGAATTAACATCAAAAAAAATAACAGACCGAATACTGGGCTGGCTGTATTTACTTTCACACTTTAATTCAATAAAAACCTCAACTTTAATTGACCTGAATCGGCTCCAACATTTCCAGTGTGCTGGGTTCGAGTGTCTTGG